TTATTTATTTATTTATTTATTTATTTATTTATTTATTTATTTATTTATTTACTTACTTACTTACTTACTTACTTACTTACTTACTTATTTACTTACTTACTTACTTACGAGACAGGGTCTCACTATGTAGACCAAGCTGGCTTCGATCTCAACAGAGATCTGCCTGCCTATGCCTCCTGAGTGCCACTTTGGCAAAATGTTTTGGTAGTCTTAGAAAACAACTGTAATTTCCCCTGAGACTTAAAAACAGTAATTGAATTTTTTTCTTCATGTCTGTCAAATATGTTTTACACTGCTGTGCAAAGCAAGAGTATATAACCTCAGTATGTTCATATTTATATGAAGACATAAAAAATGTAAACAGTGCTCTTTAATCCAATGGGAAGCAGTTGTGAACAGTGTTCACAATTGTGTGCCTTCAGGAAGAGGATTAGCTCTCCCTGAAGAGACCAAGCTCTGTGCGGGAAAGATCCTCCAAATGGAGTTGGCAGAGCAGATGCACAGTGACGTGTGTTTGAATGATGTGCTCTGTGCCCTTCCCACACATGTGTTGTTTTTACACAAGTTATTGTAGAAATAATACACAAGAAACTAAGAAAAGCAGTTATGTTAGCAGGTGCCTAGGACTCCCTTAAATATGTATCTTTAATGTCATTGTGACCCTACAGTTGCAGGGGTGAGTACATTATATATAAGATTGCCATCAGTAGCCACTGCAGTAAGCGGGCTCCGTGAGAAAATGAAGGTGACCAATAGGGACATTTTCCTACAAGAGCAGTATTTGGAGATGACCGATGCCGCTGCAGGCAAGGGGCAGCGACAGTCTTGTTGTCCGAGAGTGGTGTGATGTGTGCATCTTTTTCATTTTAGTGTTGACAGTACCAGCAACAGACATTGCTGAAGAAACTGTCATCAGTGAAGAGCCGCCAGCTAAGAGACAGTGTATGGAAATAATTGAGAGCCGGGTGGAGTCTGCAGAAATTGAAGTAAGGAGCCTTTTACCCGGTGTGCTTTGCCGCAGCCATCCAAAATAAACTGTTTCTTTTTTTATTATTATTGCTACTATCATTATTATTTGTCATTTATATTTATTACTGGCCATGTTTTGATAAAGAATGAAAGTGAATAGTGTCATCATTTTGTTTTTTGGCCCCAAACATATGGCAAGCCTTCAATAAATAAATATTGAATGAATGAATGAATGAGCAAAGAATTTGTTTGTAAAAAAGTTTGTTATCTAGTAACGCTTGGACTACCTTTGGTTTTTGACGCCATCTCTTATTTTTTGTTAAACTTCTACATGCCATTCTCACAAGTCACTGAAAATTCTCTTTTTCTAAAGTGCTGTTCCCTCATTGGCCTGGAAATCCTCTTACAGAAAGTTGATGATGCTGAACAGATTATGTTTGTAAATGCGAAAGATAACTGCTTATTTTACTATTATGTCCTTTGAGGAAACTGAATTCATTTAGACTATTGATAACATCTAACCTTTTTCCTCTCCCAAACTCATTTGTTGGTGTAACAAATCACAATCTCTTAGATTTTTCTTACATGACTAAATAAAATTCCATTACTGAATTTGTCTAACATAAAACGTAATTCTTAAATAACTGAAGAGCAAATGCAATAGAAACAGCTTTGAACTCTCTTGACTGTTCAAGCTCTTGACTATCTTAGAGTCCAGGTTTTGTTCCCCCCAAATTGGAGTTTGGTGAGTGTTACTTCATTTCGGGGTGAGCGTCCTCATCCTTACTTCACTGGATCTGAGTGTATAAATACGGTGATAATCTAGCTCTTCCTGTCAAAGGCTCTGGGTCATAGAAAGGGGCTTTGTTCTTGTTAAATGAACGACAACAATTCTTATTAAAGACAGGGAGAGTATATTCTCATGCTTATGTGAACAGCAGACAGGTATGACTTGTGGGCTTAATCACTAGCATTAAACTAAACAATCTCGTTAACCAGGCCTTATAAATAAAGCCTGTCTTAAGAATGCACAGAAAACAAACACAAAAGAATCTATGGCTAATGATTTAACCAGGATGTCTAGTAAACTTGTTTTAACGATTGAGTATGATGTTTTATTTCTCAAAATTTAAAGTGACACCTATAGGACATTAAAGTTCTGATATATAAACTAACAGTCTTTACCTCACTAAACAGTATCTTATTTATATTCTCAGTGCCCGTGTGTGTGTGTATGCATGCATGTGGAGGCCAGAGGTTGACATTGGATGTCTTAGTCACTCTATACCTTGTTTTTGCTCTTTCTTTTTAAAATGGATTTTATTTTATGTGCATGAGTGTTCTGCTTGCATGTGTGCATGTGTGCCATATTGTGTTCCTGGTGCCTGCAGAAGCCAGGGTCACTGGATACCCTGAAACTGGAGTTAAACATGGTTGTGAGGTGCAATATGAGTCCTGGGAGATGAACCCACATCTTCTGTAAGAGCAGCAAATGCACTTAACCGCCAAGCCATCACCCCAGCTTTCCACCTTGTTTTTTTGAGACAGGGCCCCTCCTTTAACCTGAGCTTACGAGTTCAGCTAGAGGGGAGAGGAGTGAGTCTCACGGGTCCTCTGTCTCCGCCTCCTCAGCACTTGGGATCACAGGTGTGCGCCATGCCCAGCTTTGTACATGGGTACTGGAGATCACAACTCAAGTTCTCATGGTGTCACAGCAAGTACTGTACTGACTGAGCCGTCTCCCCAGCCCTCAGGTGTTCCTTCCCTCCCTCCCTCTTTCCCTCTGTTCCTCTTTCCTTCTTCCATCTTTTCTTCCCTCCCTTCCTCCCTACTTCCCTCTGTCTCTGTCTCTCTCTCTCTCTCTCTCTCTGTGTGTGTGTGTGTGTATGTGTGTGTGTGTGTATGTGTATCTGTGTGTCTGTCTATCTGTCTCTCTTAGAGACAGGGTTTCTCTGTGTAACCTTGGTTGTCCTAGACTTGCTTTGTAGACCAAGCTGGCCTTGAACTCACAGAGACCCACCCACCTCTGCCCCCCAAGTGCTGGGATTATAGGCATGTGTCACCATGCCCAGCTTCCTAAGGTTCTCTTTATTGTCCTTTTCTGATTATCAGATGGTCTCTTTGGGGCATAGAAAGTTAAAAAAAATTACTTTGTTTTCATTATATAATAAAACATTTAAAATTATTTTAATTTCATTAAATGTAAGCCTATTTAACAATTTAATTTTTAAACAATAGTGATTTTAGTCTGTCCCTGGATTTATTAATGACCAGCAGACCTAACTTGGCCAAATTTTAACTGCAAAGTTTTTGTAAGAACTGATTCTCAAATGGGGAGACTTGCACCCTGAGGGACACTTCACAAGGTCTAGATAACATTTTTGGTTGTCAAAACTGTCGAGGCTGGCTTGACATCTGGTGATACCTAGGACAACATTAAGAATTTGTGTCATTCAAACATATTAATAAAGCTTAAATTAAGAAAAAACTATAAAGAGATATAAAAGTTAACTCATGCAGTTTTCACAGGGCTTTCTCTGGCCCACAGTCGCCAGAGTAGCTGTCTGTAATAATTTCTCAGTAATCCCTGGAAACATTCGTCTCAGCTGTCAAAAGTTGAGTATAGATGTGGATTCTCCCTGTGCATTGTGATGGTGAGCACAGTGAGAGAGCTTTCTTTTTGTAGGGAACCACGGTGAGTCAGTACCCACGTCTTTGCTTCCACTTCTCAGTGGCTCCCTATGAAGATGCTGTGAAGGGGAAGCGTCTTTACAGATACTCCCCAAAATCAGCAACACTGAGCTGTTCCAAAGTGAAATGAGTACGTGTTTGTGGGAGGGAGATGTGCTGAGCATGTCAGGGGCCAGGCTTCCCTGCTTCTTAGGAACTTCTTATGATCCAGTTATATGAATTACACTTACAAGTTAGTTTTGTTTTTTGTTTGTTTTGAGACTCACTTTTTCGAGTAGATGCGTGTGGGTGTGGGTGTAGGTTTGGTTGTGTGGCAGTAGTGCTCAGGATCAAGCTTCATGCTTGCTAAGCAAGTGCTAGACCTACCATTGAGCTACTTCTGTCCACCCCTTTGCCTTGTTTTTCTTCCTCTTCCTCCTCCTCTTCCTCCCCTTCCTTCCTTCCTTCCTTCCTTCCTTCCTTCCTTCCTTCCTTCCTTCCTTCCTTCCTTCCTTCCTTCCTTCCTTCCTTCCTTCCTTCCTTCCTTTCTCCTGGCTTCCTTTTTTTATTTTTATTTTTTAAGGTTTTTGAAACAGGGCCTCACTATGTAGCTCTGGTTGGCCCAGACCTCGCTTGGTAGATCAGGCTGTCCTCAAACAGATATGCCTGCCTCTGCCTCCAAAGTGTTGGGATCAAAGTTATATGCCAGCATGCCTAGCAGGTTTGTTTATTTTGTAAATGAAATATGTGTGTCCTTTAGCTAAGTGGGAGTTAAGGGTCCTTATTGTTAGTGTTCTGGTAAAAGGTGATCTGTAAATTTTAAGCAGTATCTTGAAACTTTTATTCAGAAATCATTTTTGTTTATTTGACTTAATCTGTTTTCTTGGTTTTGTTTTGGGTAGGGTTCCACTGTGTAGGCCTGGCTGGTCTAGGAGTAACCTAGTAGCCCGGACTAGCCTTGAATTTGCATCAGTCCTTCCCACCTCAGCCCCCAGACTGCTGACATCACGGTTTCCAGACATGCTTGGGTTGTCTTGCTTGTTCTGTAGTCTCATGTCCTCTGTCTCTTCTCAGGAAGTTCTTTCTCTAGGTCTAGGGAAAAACAGGATCTTTATGGAAGAGTCAGGGTAGGGGTCATTTTGGCTTTATGAACTCTAGGTCTGAGATGGAGACAGCAGCCACAGACGATTTGAAGCAAGTGGGTGTGGCAGTGCGTTGAGATGCTTTTATAAAAATCAGATCATTTGTCATCTTTGGGCAATTCAATTTTAGGCACAAGCAAATAGCTCAGGTATTTGGCCTACTTTTTCTCTTTAAACATTTTTTATCTTGGTACTTGAGGCTGAAGAGACAGCTCAGCAGTTACGAGCACTGGCTGCTCCTCCAGAGGCTCTGAGCCCACTTTCCAGCACCTACAAGCAGCTTACAACTGTCTGTCACTCCAGTTCAAGGGGATCTGGCACTCTTGTAGTCCTCACAGGCACCACCTGCACTCAGGTGCACACACTCACACCCATAGCCACATACACAGAAACAAACCTTTAATACCGGCCAGGGAGATACCATGATCATGAAGCCAGTTTTCCTAGGGCCAGGCTTATCCATTACACTGTGGTTTCTCTAAATGTGGGAAAGTTGGCATCATTTGTGGTAGTGGGGGACTGTATTTACACTCTTCCCTGTATTTAAGAAAAAAAAATACAGGCAGGGGCTGGGAGAGATGGCTTAGTGATTAAGAACATGTACTGTATGCTGGGAGCCAGATTCCATTCACAGCACTCATGTGAAGCAGCTGGCAGTTGCCTGTCACTCCAGCTTCAGGGAATCTGACAACGTCTGGCTTCTCCAGGTACCTGTACTCACATGCACACATCTCTACACAGATACATATGCACCATATAATTAAAGATAAAACATTGAAAAGTGTGTGTGTGTGTGTGTGTGTGCGTGCGCGCACGCGTGTTATGTGTTGGGCTGGTAAGGTGGCTCAGCAAGTAATGATTGCTATGTAAGCCGGATGATCTAAGTTTGATCCTTGGAACACATATAAAGGTAAAAGCAAAGAATCAACTCCACAAAGTAGTGCTGACCTCCATATGTGGCACACATGCCCATACACACGTTTTACACACACACAATAATAATAATAGTAATGAAGCAGTAATAATAATAAGTGAAAATTTAAAAATATACCTAACATTAGGATTATGGGTCCGAGCTCAACTGTAGGTTGGAGTTTTCTGATGTTTGAGTGTGTAACCGTGGCTTGCTTGTTTGATGTTTCAAGAAGTAGCTTCTCCATCATCACAACAGAAAAGGAAAAGCATCAGCCATTGATTGCTGTGAAGATTAAGTGAACGAAGAGCCTGACGTGGTGGTACACCCTGTTGTGAGTCTGAGGTTAGCCTGGTCTACACAGTGAATTCAAAGCCAGCCAGGGCTACATACTGAGACTCTGTCTCAAAGAAAAGAAAGATGAAATGGGAACAAATGCAGGATGAGTAGTACAATGGTGAACATACAGTAAAGCTTCAGTAAATGATATTAGAAAGAATATATGTTGAGGTAGAAGATAAACTATTGTAATTGTATTTATAATAGCTAGAACAATGATATAAGTTTGAGTATTAGAAAGTTACATATTAAAATTATCAAATTGTCCCACACCATTGCTTTCAAGACAGGACTAGAGAATCATCTTTGAAAATAAAGGGAACTGAAATCACCCCTTGTCCAATGGTTCTGTTATCTGATAATTCAGGTATATTCAATATAACAATTGGTATATCTTGTTGCCATCAGTCTTGATTATTACTAGGATTTAGTTTTCTTAGAAGTCTTTAGTGTTAAATTCTTTTTGTTTCCCTCCAGTGCTGGGACTGGAACCCCAAGCTTCCTTCATACTGAGCAGCTCCAACCCATCCACAGAGCAGTACCTTAGCACCGCGTAATAACTGATTATCGCTGCGTAACGATCAGAATTGGAGGCTGCGGAGATGGCTCAGCAGTTGAGAGCACTGGTTCCTTTTCCAGAGGACTTGATTGAGTTCAATTTGCAGCACCCACAAGGAAGCTCACAACAGTCTATAACTACAGTTTGAGGGGACTGGCGCCCTTTTCTGGCCTTCTTGCATACTGTACACTAACTCTGCACAGACATACATGCAGATAAAACACCCATATACATACAATAATCATAATATATCAACAAGATGGTTCAGCAGGTAGAGGCAGTCACTGTGCAAGCCTGACATCTTGGGTTTTTTGACCCCCTGAGCCCATGTAGAAATGGAAAGAAAAAACTGACCCCAGAAAGTTGTCCTGGCCACATATGTGCCTTATCACATTAGTATACACACACTCAAATGATAAATGTTTTTTTTAAATTGGTGTGGCTCTATTACAAAATATTAAATCCATAGGATTAACAATTGTAATTAAAAAAATGTCAGCTGTCTGTCAGCCTGTCACTCTGTTAATGTGTTAAATGCTAATGTTTAAAGAAACTTTTCTTCCATGAAGTGTATCCAGTAACTAAACATCAGAAACAGGTCTCTGAGTAAAATTAGTAACATTTTTCATTTTTCAGAGTTTTATTTGCTTTGAACAGCGAGGTGGCAAAAAGGTTCTCTTTCTATATTTCTGTACTTCTGAAAAGTCAGAAGTACAACATGAAAAGTCTTGATGTGTTAATCAGATATTCAACATATTTGGCACATACTGAAGATCTTTGTAGTTTACAGGTTTAGACAAAAAAAAAAAAAATGAGTCTTTGTTTGGCCTAGTAGGTGAAAGGGAACTATATTCTCCTTAGTGCTCATGGTTGAATACTTGCCTAGCACATCTGAGGCCCTGTGATTGATTCCCCAGCTGGGTGTGTGTGTGTGCACTCGCTCGTATGTGTTTGAAGTGAGATGACATAAATAGGAGTAAGCCATTTCACTTTTACACTGTCTCACTCACTGCTTGGTCTTCTGTAATAATAGCAAAGCCCTTGCAAATGCCAGGTGTTAATATATAGCTAAAACAAGATGATCCCTGACAGTTTGTTAAAATATTTCCTGTGCAACTGGGGAAATTTCTGTGTATATTCAAAACACTGACTACCAAACGATCTTATTTCTTAGCACATGTAAACTTCAAAGAGATTTCTTTTTATTGGTTTTTAGTTACGTGTATGTGTGTATCCATAGTGCCGGTGCCTGACGAGGTCAGAGGTATCAGATCCCCCTGGAGCTGGAGTACAGTTACGGGATGCTTCATGAGTTTGCATGTTGTGCTTGTGCAGGGCCCATGCTAATCTCTGCATCATTCCAATTTTAGTGTATGTGCTGCCAAAGTGAGTATGACATAGGTAAACTTTAGAGCCACTTGTGCATAGCTATGCCTGCTCTTCCCAGAAGTCGCTCGTTCTAGGGAAACACAGCTAAGCCCCTCCCCTTCTCCTCTACCCCTGATGATTGGCAAGCTCAAAGTGCTCTTGTTGATTGCTTCTCTGAGGCCTGACTCTTCGGGCCTTCCAACTTTCTAGTTGCCATCTTTTCCAGCACTAGGGAAGGGCTAAGAGACCGTACTACCCAGCAGGGTTATAAGGCTTTAAGAGAAGGACCTCGGTATTGCTTAAACTGGAAATACAGGACATTGGACTTCTCAGACACTCCCTGGAGGACCCATAGCAATCATAGCTAATTCATTCTCAGTATATGAGTGATCATAGGGAGGGGAGGGTCGCTCCTCTTGGTAGGAGCCCCTGAGCAGGAAAGTAGAGGCTGTATCAGGAGGCAGTGGGTATGTGGGAAGAGACCCTCCAACTGTCCTCTAGGACCTGTCTCACCTGTTCCCTCTGGTCATGTGTGCTGCTCAGTGGCCTTATCTATAATCCATAGTTATATTCTGGCCCCTACCTCACTAGCAGATCATAGGTTTTGTGATAACGTTACTTCATTCCTAAGACAGGACACGTTTCAGAGCCTGGGCCTGTGTGGATTTGCTTTTCTCCATATGCGTACTAGAGGTTCATATAGAAGGGTTCTTTGAAGTGTTGGTTCCTTTTCCTTGATAACTGAACAGAGGCGAAATGAAGAGAAGAAATAAGCTACTTTCATTGGACTGGGTTTGTATACATTGGCTCTCAATAACTGAGGATTTAAGACATTTTATGCCCGTTTAGCAGTGGAAGGTTGTAAGAGTAGCCTTTTCTGGATGGCCCACCTTATGGCTTTTTGAGTCTGGACCAGTGTCCTTTGTGATGCAGTTCAGGTAGTATGCTTGGTAGAGTAGAGGAGTGTGGCCTGTTTTAGAATTAGTGACATTTGAATCCCATAAACCAATTCCCACGGTGTTCTTGGAAAGGAGCATCACCTCTGAGCATCACTTTTCTCGTTCATAGCCTGGTGTGTGAGAAGCAGGCTGTGGAATTGCTTTTGCTCATGTGGTAGGCACCCTGCTGTGCGGGTGTTATCTGTAGGTGTGTGTTTGACGTTTCCTTTTAAGTCTTCTAGAACGTCCTTCAGGACATAGAGAAGAACAGGTGCACATTTTGTGTTTACCCTATTCTTATTTCTAAATTATCAATAATTTTCTTGAAATTAAAGGATAATCTCCCTCTCATACAGAGAACAAAACTGGGGGTTTGTGAATTGGTTGGAAAGGTAAGAAGTCTAGGAGGTACCGGTAGGCAGCTTCTGTGGCCACCACAATGATTCCTTTTTTTTTTGAAGAATACATGATTATGTTAATATTATTTGAAAGATTGAAAACACGACTTTCTTTTCTAAATTAGGAGAGAGAAGCGCTTCAGAAACAGCTAGATGAAGCCAACCGAGAGGCCCAGAAATACCGACAGCAGCTGCTGAAGAAGGAGCAGGAGGCGGAGGCCTACAGGCAGAAGCTGGAGGCCATGACACGTCTTCAGACCAACAAAGAAGCCGTTTAGCCGCTGTGGACACGTGTTTGTTTTTACCTTTTGTCTAGAAAGAATGCAGTCTTGAACTGTACACAGTAAGGACACAGCCATGGTGTACCGGATAATAGAAAGTGCTACAGATTGATAATGGGACTTAAGCCAGGAGCTCCGAATTCTTGTAATATAAAACTTTACAACTTGTGAAATGTATTTAAAACTGAATTGTGTAAATAGTTTTTTGGTTGTTTCTTTTTTTACAGTTACAAATGAGTTAATAAAGATTGTTGAGGAGATCCAAAACCCACAGTAAGCCACTGTTACAGGGAATTCTTTCTGATTTGGGTACAGACTTAATTTCTCAGAAACAAGAAGTTTTAAGGGTGGTTGTTGTCGGTTAGACCAAATGTGTAATAATTATGGTGAACTGATGCTGGAAATAACTCTGTGAAGAGATTTCTCCCAGGAACTTTTGTACAGCTTTTAAGTTGTCTCAGGTTCTCTGAAAACATTTTTTAGGAAGCAGAAATTTTATATTTGTTCAATTTCAGCTACATGCAAGTAGATTTACATGTATATGAAGCAAATATTTTTAAAATTTTGTTTGTACATATTCTGCATGTGTTATGATTTTAAAATGCATCACCTGCTTAGGTATGTTTCCCACAAAGCCGATGAAGATTAACAAGAAAAAACAAAGGCAACACTGTCGCTCTGCTGGTCATTGAAAGTAAGTAAGCTAGCAACTGGCTCTGCTGGCCGCTGTGACAGTGTTCTTGGAGGAGCAGCTGGCAAGAGAACTCGGATCTGCAAAATCTGTGCTTTTTTGAGAATTCCATTGTGGGGACGTGAGACTGTATTCTGTGCCTTCCATCATGATTTCCACACGAGCACTTTGAGGCGCTGGATTTTAAGATAATGTTTTTGGCATTTGGGTTTCTGAAATATTTCATGGACTTACTCCCCTCCCCCTAAGAACTTATTCTTATGGAAAATTGCTTTTGTATGCAGAACAGGAACTTTTTGTACTCAGTGATGCTATAGATACGTCTAATGTAACTTTCGCTGTTTCCTGTGAAAGCTCCGGACCTGTGCGACTCACTCTCATCCCAATATTGTCTGAAATATGTGGACACTTGACAGACTATTCCATTCTTTTTTGTAAAATGTAACTTCAAGCTCTTTATTGTTCTGTTTTGTTTTGTTTTATTGCTTTATGAAAATGTTTAACTCCCAAACCTCTCTAGATTATCTGTATAAAGAGCCAATTACCCTCAAGACTGTACTCTGGCCTCCTTTTCTATTTTACAATTAAATAACTTTCCACATATGCTCGGCGCAGAGTCGTGTTTTGACTGCACATTCTTCACACAGTAAAACATGGGCGATAGAGCTCAGGGGTGGAGCAGACTATTCATTCCTTAACACCCCCCACCCCGTGGAATGATTCCTTGAGAATGTGATGGTTCTCTCACCTGGATCATCCATACAAGAGTTTTGTAATAAAATGGTCTGTGGAGCCTCAGCCTGGTTGTAGCTGCTTTTTGGAGGCTACAGGAAGTCTCTACAACAGTGATTCTCAACTTTCCTAATGCTGCAACCCTTTAATACAGTTCCTCAGGTTGGGGTGAGGAACAGTATTAAATTATATTCATTGCTACTTCATAGTTGTAATTTTGCTACTATTGTGAATTGTAAGTGTCTGAAATGGAGGACACCCTGATACGGGACCCCTGTGAAAAAGTCATTTGATCCTAAGGGATCACAACCCAGAGACTGAGAACCTCTGCTTTACAGCATCGGTAAAAAACAAAAATTATAAGGAAGAGAACTCCTTAATAATTAATTAACTTAATGAAGTTGATTTTGAAATGCAGCCCACCATTACTTACTGATCTGGCCTCTACCTCATGAACTCTGGTGACCTTCCCATCTTGGGTTCCGTAGTTCTGGGGCCTTGAGCATATGCCATTACTTACACTCTGTTTTGACAAACATGGAAAGAAATCTCACTATGTTGACCCAGCTAGTCATGAACTTTTTTTTTTTAATTTACTTATTTTCAGAAAATCTCTTTAGTATACCAATTTGGTACATAGTATGTATGATTTTTTTTTAATTTTTTCTTTATATATTAATTACAATTTATTCACTTTGTATCCCACCTGTAGCTCCCTCCCTCCTTCCCTCCCAATCCCACCCTTCCTTCCTCTTCTCCATCCATGCCCTTCCCCCCAGTCCACTGATAAGGAAAGTCTTCCTCCTCTTCCTTCTGATCCTAGTCTATCAGGTCTCCTCAGGAGTGGCTGCATTGTCTTCCTCTGTGGACTGGTAAGGCTGCTCCCCCCTCAGGGGAAGGTGATCAAAGAGCTTTTGAATTCAACTGATCCTCCTCCGGGTACCTAAGACAACAGACATGCACCCCTCCACTGCCTTTACGGAAGTGTTAAATGATCTAGCAGTAGCTATTAGGGCTAGGGCTATAGCTCCGTGGATGAACGCTTACCTAATATACACGAGGCCCTGGGCTCGGCTTCCAGCATGGCAAAAGCAAGACACCCACTGCCAAGTTCGAAAACTGCAAGCTACGTTTTCAGCATTATGAAGCTGCTTGCCCTTCAGTCACAAGCCACTGGAGGACATGTGGTTTAGGTTTGTGTAGGGATCTGTGTTAAGCAGGACGCTGGGGTACATTGAAAGCCTTGGCAGGGAGAATAAATGCTGTTGAACTCATCTTCCTGCCTCCACTTCCTGAATGGAGCAATCACTTCTCAACTGCTTTTCAGTCATTGCTCTTTATTAATGTCTTACATTTTGTAAAGACCTATGGTGTTGGTTGTCTTTGGCACTCAGGGCTTTCTTACTTACACCAATTTTCATGGTGTAAATGGCAGATTAGGCAAGCCCTTAACCTTCACTGATTTGTGTGTGTGTGTGTACGTGTGCACGTGTGTGCGTCACACGATGCAGACATGTTTGCGTGTGTGTGGAGACCAGAGGACAACTCCAGGCAGAGTGTACCTCCTTAGACGGTCACTGATATGGAGCTGGAAGGGTAAGCTAGACTGCCTGGCCAGTGGGCCCCAGCGACACACCTGTCTGCCTTCAGGTTTTTTTAACCTTCCTCCCTCCCTTCCCGTCCCACACCACTGTATGTGTGTAGAGGTCAGAGGACAACTTGCTGAAGTTGGTTTGCTTCCACCATATGGAGTCTAACTCAGATCATCAGACTTGCTGGCAAGTACCCTTACTCTCTGAGCCGTCTTACAAACCCACACTTGGGCTTTTTCTCTTTCAAAGATTTCAAGTTCATTTTTATTTTATGTGTATGGATATTTTGCATTTACATATGTGTGTGCAGTGCCCACAGAGGCCAGAAGGGGGCCCTGGCTCACCTGTTGTGAGCTGCTGTGTGGGTGCTGGGAACTGTACCCAGGTCCTCTGGGAAATTAGCAAACGCTCTTAACCAGTGAACCATCTCTCCAGCCACCACACTTGGCTTTTAAAATGTGGTTTCTGGAGCAATTTCGGGTCCTTGTGTGTGCAAATTAAGTACATCACTGAGCCTTCTTCCCTGCCTCAGGTTGCTCTGTTTCTTAATGGTGGTGGGACCGTGAGAGATGGGAGCGCATTCTTTACCGTCAGTCAGTAGTACAGAATTCCAGAGAGAAGAGAATCAAGAGGAACTCCGTGAACAAATTCCAGGCTGTAATAAAAAGATCTGTATACAAGTATTTGTCAAAAAAAAAAGAATACACTTAGTGGAAAGTCTATGGCAGGATATGTTTCAATACTGTCATTTAGGTGATACTTGTTGACAGTTTGCGAGGAATACTTGACCATAACACACACTGATGCAGTGCAGAAATTAATAATTATGGGGGCTTTCTTCTGACGAGCCTTTTCTTTCCATATGACACTGTGTATTATTTTGCTCTTTGTCATACCCAGAAGACCTTGAAACTTGACTCAAAGTAAGTTGAGGAAAACAACAACAAGAAGGAAAACATTTTCAGATAAAAGCACAAAGCAGTGCTAGGAGCCTCTGTGTCATATGGAGAGGATCCCAAAACATTAGAACTTGGGCTTATATAGCAAACAGGAAAAAAATTTTTTTTCTGTTTACCTGGTTCCTACTGAATAAATAACCCTTTCATCTTGTCAAATCAATTTAGTGATAGATTCACTAACAGACCTGTTATTTTGCTAAATAATATTTGCAGTTCTTGGATCTCATTATAGATAACTAATCTGCTGTAGTTTTCAGCCAGGCTTGCTATGTGTTTTTTTCCATGTCAAACCGGAGCACCTGAGGTGCCTAGATTTATTTTGACGCAGGCACTCCTGGTTCATTCTCAGATTGCTCTCTAAACTACCATGAGCACTGTGGTATTATCACTAGAAATGTGCTAGGCCCAAATTAAAATATTAATATCAATATTTTTGTAACTTCTAAAAAGTTTTATATGCATACATAGTAGAAATGGTCTTGTGCCTTCTGATCATTTGATACCTTAAATTTCTTTGATGGCGTTTTACTGAAGTGAAAATAAATGGTAACAAAATATGGCATGCAATCTGGATATAATTCCTAGGGCCTTTCACTTTTTACATAAATATATCACCTTAAAAAACAAACCTTTTTGCTTTCCTGAAGAAGGATGAGCCCAGAGGTCTTGTGGAGTGAACCTATGATTTGCTGGGGTTACTAACAGGGGTATGGGTGACTCAAAGGCTACTGCATTTCCAAAAAGCCCATCCCAGCCTGGTACTGGCTCTGCAAAGCTGCACCCCTGGAGCTGCAGGCACACTCAAAGGCAGCTGCAGCTGAGGGTCTCCCCACCTAAGGCCCCATGGTTGTCCACTACTGTTTTATAACTCTGGGGGGCGAGGTGAGATTCTTGTAACTTTCTGAGCTTCCTAGGCCTGAGTCTCCTGAGTTTCTTGAGTCCAGCGGGGAATGTTTGCATCAGGAGGGTAGAGCCACACAATAACCTGGTTTTAGGGTTCTGTCCACCATACTTTATAATTTGCTTGGTTGATTTTTTTATATGAATAGTTTTGATCTTATATGCATAGTTGATACATAGTTTATTCATCTTAAATATGTCCTACTACATAATGTAACTCTATTCTCACCACTGATTATGAAGATTATTATTTTTGAATTTCATGGATTCTTTAAATACCTTGAATGATTTTCTCATGTATTTTAGCATATTTAGCTATTTTTCATGATTGTTCTAGCCTTTCCACTTCATTTATAACTCTGAAGAATTAGATGTAAACCACACATCTCTGTAGGAAAACGCCGTGTTTCAAGAAAGCCACACCTGAGTGAAACTATAATCTCTTAAAAAGAAATCCTTAGTCTTCCTTGGAACTGCCTTTATTTCCAAACATTTCTACCAAGTGTTTCAGTGTAAACAGATGCCCACAGCGGAGGCTTACCAAGGGTTGCTGGGAGGAAGAAGCCTCGCTCACTGTCGGCACCAGCTGGGAAAGGTGGCCGTGCAGATGTGCATTTCACATCTGGGTAGAAACGGTCCACAGCGCTAACTGGCATGGCTTATTGTACGGTATATTGTCAGTATTCTTCTTGTCCAGCATACCTTACAGTTCGTATATAACCTGTATTCATTGTGTAGATTGTACATTTAAAGCTGTTACCAAGTTTTCAGAACCTTACGAACGAAAACAGGTCATATGTAATATTTTGTTTGTAATTATCCTTTGTACCATAGCAAAGGAGATGTTTAAAAGATCAACTGTAATAAAAGTAATTTTAGAAAAAAAAAGAGAGAGAGAGAATGAGGGGAAGCTGTTGCCTCCTAGCCAGAGTAGACTCTGCCTCTAGGTAGAGACAAGTCCCATACCAGGAATCCAACTCAGAAAACTGCAGCTTTTACTTTTTCTTCTGTCTCTTACTCATGGTGGCCAGAGCCCAAGTATGCTTGCTTTGGTACTTTGGGCTTCCTCACTCTTTTCTCTAAAGCTCCCCCCTGTCAGGTTACAAAGCAGGCCCCTAAGATGGCGGCACAGCTGCCAACACCCTAGAACAGTTACACAAGCTTAGCTGGGTCAGGTGGCCACGAGGACACAGAAACCTTCCAAGCATCACACACTGAAACGTTATTCGTTATGTTTATTATCTTTCCAGGACTAAACTGAACATCAATTTTTTGTTTGGCTTTGATGCGAACTTCAAAGCTCACAGGAGAAAGTAACACAAAGCTCTTACCCAGACCTAACGGATCTTGGGTTTGCCTTGTCTGTTTCCATTCCCTTAAGAAGCAGGTGCTGCTGAAGTGGTTGCCATGTCTTTTGTCC